CCTACCTAAACGAGCATGATGATCATGAAGAACACCGCGATTCAAGTCGACACGACCATAAGAATAACGGTCATCGTTGAACAATTTGAAAGTCATTGCAATGATGAGTGTCAAGTCGAGCATCTCGTGCATGCATAATGGTTGAACCTTTTGTTAGGACACGAGAGGTTACATGATCATATCATGCCTATGTGGGCATGCCTCTCCTTCTTGTTCGCCAACTCCCTGTTCTCCTCCTTGTTGCCTTCATCTTCCTCTTCGCTACGAACATCTTACCTCGCCTTCCACTAACGAAGCCCGACATGAAAAATGAACACTATTAATCTATTTCAGAACAATCGTTCGTCTTAAGTAGATGAAAGGTTCACGTGAATATCTCAAAAACTTTGACCAACCCCACGACTTCACTAGAAGGGGTTCACACTAACCTTTTTTATATCGTTCTAATTTTAACGGATGTCCCAAGAACCAGGGCGAAGACCCTGAGATATCATCATCCAACTGCCCAACCCAAGGTAACATAGCATCTTATTTGTTGCTTGAAGTGGAGATCGAACTCAAGCCTATATTTCAACAGTTTATGGGTGTACCAATAAAGCTACGATTGTTGATTCCACCGCCGGTCTTAAAATTGGGACCGGGATCCAAAATGGAATAAAATAGTAATAATAAAAATAAAACAAAAATAATAAAAATTAAAAAGAAAAAAAAAAACGAAAAGGAGGGGAAAGAGAGGCAGTGTGGGTGCCTCCTTGGTCCCGCTTGTCAGGTCCGTACTTAGGACTGATGGTAAAAAAAAAAAGGATAGTCCCAGGAGACCCTTAACCCCTCAGTCCCCTCAATTCGCGCTCCATTGCTCCGATGTCAGTCGCATGCCTCGATCCTCGAACGTGAAGTATGCAAGTGACGTGTCGCAACCAATTGAGCTGAGCCTAAGTTGGAGCCTAGGTGGTGAAAAACTCCACATAATCAATGTCTACCCTGGACCTGGGCCCGCCAAACTTCCTCAATGCCACACCTTTGAGTACCGGTCGAACCCACGCCCGCCAACCTTCCTCATCTATTGTGTCATGGATTGGGTTTCACTCATGACTGTCGTGCACGCCATTTACCATGCCCTAGTCGCACTGCCTTTAATTTCGGCCCCGACAAACGACCACTTTTCCAAAGTCACGCCTTTACTACTTTGGTAGGCACAAACCTCGACCTTTGACCGTGTCGAACTCCACCTACGCACACCTCGCCAAGGTCGTAAGAGGTCTCTACCAAAAACACAACAATTTTAGTACTACACAACTCAAGCGCCGCTTTAAATAATTTAACAGTAGTTTCTTATAATCGTGGCACTGTAAAATCGATGATAACAATACTGACCTCTGTGCGTGCGCACAACCATACTAATCAAAATTTTGATCTCTCTTTACTTCGCACTACTATGTGAAAATTTATGGTCACACCGCAAGTTAGCAGAACCGCCAAACATCTAGATAATCAAGACGCGCCCCAAGGTGGACGCCCATACACTCTCTGACCTATCCAAATGTGCGCTGTCGTTCCGACTTTTGAGACTCGTTTGCATGTTGTGCATAAAAATAAATGTGTTATTGCCTCAGTTACCATCAGAGACGCGGCTCATGTGAGACGCAAAAACATGGACAAATACCATTGCAAGGATATTTGTGCCGACACCGGTACCAGTAGCGGGATGCTTAGCAAGCATCGACTTACTCGTATTACCAGTAGCGGAAGGCTCGACATCAATGGCTGAGAAATGTACTGGTGGTTTAATTGTTGCAGTCACCGGAAATTGCGCACTCATATTTTGCAATGAGCCGCTTACAGCCCATTGCAAACCCGCTCGTCAAATCGTCAAGATTAGGTAATATAAAAACTTTTGCCCTTCCAGGATTTTGGACCCCTTTTTGGGCCTACAGTCATAACGTAGCACCAACTCTAATCTTTTCAGCGGTTCTTGCAGCAATTCGCAGCCAGGAGGTTGCGCTTGTGTGGATTCCATTTTCGTCGTTTCATGTTCTTTCTATTTTCGGTAATGTCGTGCAGTACAACTTTGCTAGGACGGGTCCGTTTGGGGTCTCCGACAACAGAAAATAGGGCCCGGTCGCAGTCGTCCCTAAGACCGGTTGTAGGGAAGGTTGCTTTATCAAGGTCGTTGCAATTTAGAATAGGGCACCGTCCATTGTTTTCCTTTTGAGGGATATAATTTTTTTCCCGTTGAAAACTGGGGGTGGGTGATATGGGTTTGGGTGGGCGATTTGGGTCTGTTTTTTTTTTTTTTTCTCTCTTCTACTACATCTTCCCAGAAATACAGTATCTAAGCATTCTGCTGTTTGTTACCAAGTAACGAAATCTAGAACGGACTGCCCTGCCTCGTTGGTAGGGCTTACTAAGAAAAGAAAAGAAAAGAAAAAAACGTACTTACCTTTGCCCTGAGAGTTGTGGAGATCGAGGGCCTTGCTCCACTACTGACCAAATGTGCAACATGAGCATGAATCGTCTGGTAGAACACAAGTATATACACTGCTAGTACTTTAGAGCTTGAAATGCCCTTTTTCCTGGCCGCGTGCGGGGTGGTACAACCCTCAGTAGCTCGCTAATCGTGTTTTTTTTTTTTTTTTTTTTCTTCTCCCCCTCCCTTTTGCGGTCCAAGAATCCGGGCTCCATCCAACAGCCTAGCTCAGCTGGTTAGGCCCGCAAGTGGCATTCAAGAGGTTGTGGGTTCAGTCCCCGACTATGGCACTCTTGATGCCAACCAACTGAGATAGTCAGCTGGATCCTCTCAGTCCGTATCAGTAAGGTCTTCAGCCAACACAGGTGTGAGTGCGCGTGTGAGTGGGTTGCATGTGAGTCGGTATCAGAAGGCTGCGCATCCCCAGTTGATGTAGCTCAGTGGTTAGAGCACCGGTTGGAAATGCGCATTGTGGTATGAGGTTGCGGGTTCAAATCCGTAGCCTTGCGCATGGACACCGGCACGACGTTAGAATGATGCACGGCTAGACACACATCCCCTTGGGATGACGTAGGTTAGCTATTACAGACACTGCCTGCGCACCATCCAAGTGTTGTTCATTGTATGTTGGTTCTGGTTTTCACATGGATTGCTTGGGGGTGTTGGTCTTGGGTGTTCTGTTGGTCTCCCCAGTGGCATATCACACGTTCGTGCCATTTCCACTAGTCGTTCACATGGTAGAGTCATTCGATTACACGTTACAAGGTCACGGGTTCGAGCTTGGTTCGGACCTTGGGGGGGGTTCTTGTCCAACTTACCCTGGTCTCTCTTCGATATATACACATGATGCTGCCTATACATTGATTCACAGAGCACACACAGCCTTCGGGCATATACATTGCTTTTGAATTATACATGGCTTACGAGCTACATACACAAGTTTCCACACACAGTGTTGTCTGTACATCTTCATACATAGATACACGGAGCATACACAGCCTTCGGGTATGCACATACATTGCGAACTACACAACTATCAGCCTGGGGGGGTCTAGTCACTGGGTGGGGTCTAGTATCTGCAGTAGGGATAGGTACGGGCCACCGGAGTTCCTACTGATATTTGGATAGAACTGTCCAGTGGCTATATATAAGGCTTAGACCCTGGGGTAAGGGTAGGGGTATAAGTCGCTCAGGCCARTACGAGTTCCGCCTGGCCTTGGGTAAGCTAGGGGAAGGACGGTAMGACTGCTTCAATGGGTGCTACCCTGTCTGAAACCTAGGGCCCAGAGTCTCTTGGGGCCTGTAGTAGATTGTCTGGGCCTGGCGTCCGAAGTTCCCGTTGGACAAGGCTCGTCCGATTCCGCTTCCACCATGGCTGGGCAACCTATCAGCCCTGGTGCCTATCACTGCTGTTCGGTCCAAGTTACCTGCCCATTGGTAGGGTAATGGTCCTGAGTGCTGGTCACACTGAGGTAGGATAGTGGGATAGGGGGTGCGCAGGAGTATTGACGTGAGGATGGGATGGGAGGTGGTCTCATATTCCAGGACACCCACGGCCTACTGCTCCAGGTGATCACTGTGTACTCAGTGACTGGCCTCTACAACACCATGGACTTAAAAAAAAAAA